CGCCCATCAAGTGAGAGCGAGTGGTACCACCCATTTGCCCAGACTGAAGTAAGCGGGGTGGGACTCGAGCCCGTAACACACCAACTGGAAACTGAGTACCTAAGCCAATGAGCCAAATCTCCACAACTTGTTAGGCTTGCTTTGGAGTCATCTCTCGAACACACTGAATTATCGATGTCAGCGACATACGACTGTGAATCACGAGCGAAATATGGTTAAGTAGTTAGTTTGAATATCAAATATGCCGCTTAAGAGTTTTCCCTAAAATCTATATTTAGAGTGGGTTTTTTCCCAGTAAACTCGACGAAATTCTCGTGTTCACTGATCTCCTTCTCTTCAACTCCCATATAGGTGTGAAGTGAGTAAGATACCTAACGACTTCACTACATTCTCCTAAACAGGAAATTCGAAGCACGTGATAATCCTACTAGATGATGTTGAAAATATAACAGTCTGTGGTCATAGATCCTATTTATCTGTTTTCCTTCTGATTATTACTATATGTTGTTTTAGAAAGTGATCTAAATCCACGTTGTGAATTAATATCTGGAACTATTTTTGACTTTAGCGGTGTGATTACCTGTATTCCAAGGTCAAATCGTTTGTTCAAGATTATCCATCAAATGTTTACCTAACACCCATGCGTTTTTCTCCAGTATGGGGTGGACAAAGCTTGCTTAGTATGTTTTTATCAGCGTTGAACGATTTGTCCACTAATTTACGAGACTGGAAATGGGATTTTGTGATCAATTTGAGTGAAAGTGATATGCCTATCAGGTGAGATTTCATTTTAAATACATAAATATAAACAAAATGTCCTGGGCAATATAGAGCAATATGAAACACCAATTAGTGTAAATAACGCAGAGGTGAAGAAATATGTTTCTGAGTCTGGTGCTTCCTATTACATTTTTATCACACTTTATAAGTCGAATTATCTTGTAATTGAATTAGTTTTAAAGAGTGCACAAAATAACCATCCATTATCCCATATATGACGTTACACCTCTGCCTAATGGCGGAGGTCGTCATATCTATCATTTTCATATCATATAGAAAGCAAAAGCAGTTAAAAATAAGATTGTCAGAAATCCTAAATACTATATGACTGATGTTAACAGTGGCTAATTTATTTAGAGAATTCACTTCCTACAAGTGGGTCAATGGTCTGGACATTACTACTACAACTAACTAGTACTGGAGGTATGCAAATATTTTCGGTTACTTTCAAAAGATATCTCTGATTGCGTAAGGCTAATCAAAATAACTTTAGTTGGATTTCGGTTGACAACGAGGAGTGAGTTTAGTAACGAGGAAAGATAAAGTGAAGTGGAACTGTTTCTGAAACAGATAACAAAAGCAATGCTTTTGTTGCTCAAGAAAGAAGGAAAAAACACCTTACTGACTTCATATTCGTGCCCATTCAGGAGTACAAATTCACCGTCATTATTTCCTGTATACACTAGTATATTGTTTATACTGTTATTGTAGTCCCTTTTATGCTTATCATGCTTATACAACTCATCTTCGTGATATAGTAGACCCTTTTGGGATAATGATTTTGAATACCACCAGATACACACTAAGCAATTATCAGTCGGGACAAGTGAACTACACTGGGCTAGTTTTTAATGAATAGAAAGATTAGCAAAGTATCTTCTATGAATTTCTATGAATACATCGTTAGTGTGTATTTTTATTATCATTCTGACGAAAGTATGAGTCTGTGAATGTACAAATTTTCTTTTTTTTCTTTATTTATACAGACCTCATCATGAGCTGGTTACCTATTTAAGTCACAACAAGGATAAAATTTTTCTTCGCTCATTTAGTCATACTGGACAAAGGTGAGTTATCATTTATATGTATATATATATATATATATATATATATATATATATACACCACTCAAACCACGCTTATTCTGCACATCCGCGAGTTCGTAAGAGGTCAAATTCAGAGCCTTTAGGTTGCATGGTGGAAACTTTTCCAATCACCTGAAGGGTTGTAATCCCAGGGCTTTTTAATCTCCAGATCCCAGTTAGCTTTGAAGGACGCGCGTGAAGGTGGTGTAGATCTACTCCCTGAAGGGAAACTTTTCGACCTCGAGAATGCAGATGATATCGTCTTACTGCGCGATAGCTTGCAGGCTGCCCAAATCGCACTTAATCAGTTGGCGATCAGTGTCTATAAGTATGGTGTGTGATTTGTGCCGTCTAAGTACAAAGTAGTGTTACAAGATTGGCGGGAGTTGTACCTGCACTCACTCTTGCAGGTGAACCGCTTAAAGTTTTCGATAAGTTCGCGTATTTGGGTAGTTGTGTGAGTGCTGGTGGAGGCGTGACGGGTGTGATTTCCAACCGTATCAGGATAGCCATGGTGGTATACGTCAACTTGAGCCACCTCTGGCCCCGTCGCAAAGTTAGCCTGGTTGTCAAAGTTAGAGTTTACAATACTTCTGTGCGTACTGTCTTGCTCTACGCCTGTGAAACTTGGCCTTCGTGCTGAGGTTGTGCGATTACTCTGCGTATTCGATCATCGCTATCCCCGTAAAATTGCTTGCATTCGATGGCATCATCACGTAAGTAATTCTGAGGCCCAGCGGCGTGTGTTTGGACACAGTGGAGATCACCATTCGTTAAGTATTGTCATCTGGGAACACCGGCTTCTGTGGCCTGAATATGTGCTACGAATATCATCCCAGAGGCTTTCGTGCAGGTCTCTGTTCACTAGCCCTGGGACGGGATGGAAAAAGTGGAAAGGTGGTCAGCCCATGACGTGGCGTCGTGGGATGAAGGGTATTTGTGTTAGGTTGGCATCAGTTGGTGCATCACAACTCCCTGGTTGTAGTCCGAGAGAAACGTTACCAGATATGGTCAATAATCGCAATCAATTGCAAAAATGCTGCAATTTCCTTCTTTCTTCCTTTTCCGACACTTATTGACGAATACTGTTTGAACTTGTTGAGTATGTCTGCTTTCCTCCCAGATGAAGTATCTTATCCGTTCTCTACCTATATTTTTACCTATCGTCTCAAATGTTGTTTTATTATTATTGTGTGGCGCTTCTTCTTGGTGCCATATTGCACCAAGTTTTATGTGCTGAAATAAATAAATAAAATGAAATTTTTAATCTCAGTTTGCGATATAAAGCCACTGCTTTCCAGAAAAGTTATCGATTCCTCTCAAATTCAACATCTTAGTAACAGCTGGCTGTTTATAACTTCACAGTAGAAGTCCTAATGATATGTGACAACATCAGGTGCAAGAACTGGTAATTATGGGCAACAGTAGAGGACTTGGCCAGTACATTGTCAAAGTTGAAGTCACAAGTGTTTGGATTCCACCGGTTAGGTTATGTTAGGTGGTAATGTGCTTGCTTGGTAACTTTATCTCCCCAGATAATGACTGCTCACGTCAGGATCTCAAGTCGGAATGAAATGGCTGGTGGGTACCTTTCATTTTCCCCTAACTGATGTTCTTCTATTATGGGAACTTATAAAACTAAAATCAGAAACTGTCGGGTCATAGGAATCTACCTAGAACTAAACTCATCGACGCAGCTAATCCAGTAAGAAATTCGGCTACTGTTATGGTTTGCAATCACACAATAGGGTAGGAGAGAGTAAAAGTATTAAAAAGTAATGTGGTTAAGTGGAGAGAAGTTAATTACTGAATCTTCGTCCATCGAGCCAACACCGAATACATGCCACAGAAATAACGTATCACATCCCCTGGGTATATGGTAAACTGCTTCAAAAAACAAAAATCATCTGAAAAACTAGATGAAGGAAGTTTGGAAGTCGTGTGATGAATATATTGGTGTGTTTATGAGTTGTACATTGTACTCAACAGCCCATCCAGTTATAAATAATATATCACTGTGTCATATCAAATATGGATTTATATTCTACTGAAGTGCCCGAGTTCTATTCTTTTATTAATTTGGTTTGTTTTGTGAAATGGTCTGTTGTAGTAGTGAGAATTGTAGACATATTTATATACATCTCAGCGGAATTGAAGTGCTTTCAAGAGTTGATTTGTGAGGATATGAATTTTTTTTCGAGTTTGATCTTGAACTGATATCAGTTGGAGAATCATTGAAAACCATCCAGGAGCACTGAACAGCTGTTTCATCCTAGTTTGGGACTCATCGACAGTACGTACCCACTGGGGTTTGAACCCAGGACCTTCCGGTTACAAGGCAAGCTCACATACTATTCAGCCACTGCGACTCGATTGAAATGATTAATTCCGCTATTTCATTCATCAAACTGATCCCAATTTCTATTGGAAAAGGATTTATTGTGGTGACTGCTGCTATGCGGAAATATATTTTGCTTATTCCTGCCTCTGTAATCGGGATACTCAAATAATTTAAACTTTGTTCATAAAAAAGCTGTTATTTTCTCATCCTTTGCTGTTTTATACATATTGTTCCTAAAATATTTACTACTTGTGACAGTGTTGTAAAATGTTTGTCCTTCACCCTTTTTTTTAATGCCTACAGTTTTTTGAGAAATCAAGGTTTCGGCCAATTATTCGTTGAATGTGATTCTTATGTTTGGCATTTAGGCGAACGACCTATCCCATCTGGAGTTATTTTAGATGGAGGTTCAGATTGGATGATACTTCCCAAAGTATTTGTGGATTATATTATTCATAGTGAGGATAGTTTGATAAGCGATATTAAGGAATACTTTCGCTATAGTCTGCTACCAGTCGAGGTAAGTATATAAATAGAGCAGTGTGTCTGACTTTGAAAGGTACCTAGGCATTCTGTTACTTTATTAAAGACTGTAAGATTTGGGGTTTAATCACATCTCATGATGTACTAGGGATTATAAGTCATATTTTTAATCATCTGACAATTGGTTAGTGTTAATCCAAGACAGAATATGCATATTAGCGTAAACTTTTAGGGTGACAGTTCGAGATCGGGTAAAGATGCGTTTCTTAAGTAGGCCATTCATATTGTTGCTTTGTGAGAAATACACACCGATGGTAGTTCAATAAAAGTCGAATAAAGTACTTGATATTGTTAATTACTCCATATCTGAATAGGATAGTCTTGGGGAAATTAAGGCTGATGATGTTTAAATACATACATATACATAAATTTAATATGGTGTCTCCCAAATTCGTATGTCAAATAGCTAAGTATACTATTCCTCACTGTTGTATTTCACTAAACAGCTGTCAAAAGTAGCCGACCAATGCGAAGTATGTCATCATTTTGCTTTACTTCTTCAGAAAAAACATCCAGGTCGTCGTTATATAACTGCTGCATAGATGCTGTTGGTATAAAGTATAAAGGTCTTAGCAAGGCAGATTATTGCTGATTGCAGTAGAATTACTCATGAAAGCAACTTTCGAGCTCGCCTTGTAACCAGAAGGCCCTGAGTTCGAATCCCGGTGGGCGCGTATTGCTGAAGAGTCCCAAACTAGGACGAAACAGCTGTCCAGTACTCCTAGGTTTTCCAGTGGTTCTCTAACTGATGTCACCTCATGATGAAATCCTCTATGCAATCAAACAAAATCCCTACAAAAGCAATACTTGAAAACTTTCAAAGTGCTAATCAGAGTAGTTTGGAGAAAAGTTCTCTTCATATCCGAAACCTGTGATATATATGTTGGAAATCAATCTAGTAATGGCCCAAGTGTGATAACGCTAGAAACTGACCATGATCACGCAATATGGTCAATCTTTATCGAGTCTCAGGCTTTATCATATGATTGTGTTTTTTTTTCATACTTCTCTTCTGTCTGATGTGTATTATATTTCCATTTTATCCCCTTGTGTTTAGTTTGCTTTTTATATTTTTCTTCTTGTTATGTTTATACTTTCCACCTTTATCATCTGTTTCACTGCTTTGAAATATCGTAATAGTGTACTGTTCTGTTCATATGCCCAATTTGTACTAGACAGTCAACCTCAACAACAACAACAATATGGAACCGATTTCTTACCTAGATGAACAATTTTTCCAATTTCTGCAAAATGTCTTTTTGTTTTGTTTTTTTACTTTTGTAGAGTTTTTTCCATACAGTTGCACAGAACACCCATTTTTGTACATCAGTCATTAATCATTATCTACGATTCATCAATTGGAAAAGACCACAAGGCTGTGGTTGTAAATATGGAAGTGTAGTTGATTGGTGCGGTTGCTCTCCACTAACCCTAAATGGACCGAAAGACGCTGAAACTCTGTGTGAATTAGCTGGAAAGTGTTCACAGTCAGATTACGGCTTACAGCCATTATTTTTTGCGCGTAAATTTGATTCAACTATTGATATGGGGATAATTAATTTCGTCATATCTAAATTGTTGACACGAGATGATATACCAGGTACTGCATCCTATTGTAACTATTACTATTATTATTATTAATCCCTTAGGTTCCCAGTGGAACATAGGGAGGGATTCAACAGCATATTTGCACTTCATCCTGTTCTCTACAGTCTTTTATAGCTGTCTCCCAGATTGCCCATGGGTTGCGATCTCCTCTTCACAGGATCTCTTCTATGTCACCCTCATCGTCTCCCGTTTAGGTTCCACTCGGGAGTCTGTCTGGTAAGCGATGTTACACACAACAGTCTGCTCAGTGTGTGTCCAATCCATTTCCGTTTCTTTCGGCACTTTTCTTGGGCAATAGGTTCTTGGTTAGTTCTTCACCAGAGTTCCCTATTGCGTTTCCTTTCCGTGGTCGGCCATCTGTTCTTCAATACTAAGTGAAAGCAACTATTGATAAAAGTGATACATAAGCTATTCCCCACATTTCTGTAGTGAAGAAAAATATCCCTAGGAACTGAACAAACAACAGAATAAAATACTTTATAGCGTCCAACAGTTGTGTGATCAAAATACTCTATTGAACGGAGACAATCACACTGAGTAATTCCAGTGAATGCTTTATTTCACTTGCTTGTTCGCTAGTAAAAAGAAAATTACCTTAGACTAACAAATACCATTTATGTAACTTCTTCAAATGCTCTTATATTTTAAAAAAAGGGATAAATGGAGTTGTCTCAGTTAAACTGTGTATTGAACAGCTTCCAAGGAGCATTTAGAATAATAAATCCTTTCATTTACTGTACAAGGTGGTTGTACAAAATGCTTAAGGCATAGTAAAATGCGTCAGTGGATTTTGTTAAACAATTCCTGTTCAACTAATGCAAAGTTAGAGCCGTTGCGTGAAAGTCCTAATATTAAGTATCTATATCTATCTAATATATCTAATATCTATCTAATATTCGAGAAGGCCTTCGACAGCGTTGACCGCGAAGTAATTTGGAAACTAATCGAGTACTACGGCGTACCCCAAATATTCATCAACCTTATTCAACAGCTGTATGACAACGACACATGTCAAGTGATCCACAATGGAAAACTCAGCGAGGCGTTTGGAGTAAACACAGGAGTCAGACAAGGGTGCTTATTATCACCAATGATATTCCTAATTGTGGTGGACTGGATTATGCGTCAGACAGTGTGAAACGAGAAGACAGGGATATCCTGGACCGACGTGAAGAACCTATAAGACCTGGATTTCGCGCGTGGATGATTTATGTTTGACGTCACACAAAACGAAGACCTACAAGCGAAAACCGACAAACTGGTCGAAGAAGCAGCAAAGATAGGACTCCAGGTGAACATAGACAAGACGGAGGTTATGAAAATAACCAACTAACAACAACAACAGCAGCAGCAACATCCACCGCCAATCACCACCAACGGGAGGGATTTGAAAGAGGTTACTTCATTCACTTATCTAGGGAGCATTGTCTCAACTACAGGAGGAACGGACGAAGATGTCAAATCGAGAATCGGGAAGGCGAGAAACACATTCATCAACCTGAAACCAATCCGGAAATCTTCGTCGCTCAGCATCAACAACAAAATTCCGATTTTCAATACAAACGTCAAGTCAGTTCTTCTATACGGATCAGAAACTTGGCCAGTGTGTCACAAAGAATATTTCCAACAGCCTGTTGCAGACCTTTATCAACAGCTGCCTCCACTCTATACTGAAGATTAGATGGCCGGAAAGAATCACAAACAAGAAAATATGAGAACAAACAAAACAAGAATCCATCGCCCAACAAATATGCAAGAGAAAGTGGAGGTGGACTGGACACTCGCTGGGAAGGCCTCTGGGTGACATCGCGCGTCAGGCCCTCGAGTGGAACCCGAAAGGGAAGCGGCGAGCGGGACGTCCAAGGGTGACATGGAGGAGATCGTGTGATGAGGAACTGAAACAGTATGGATTAACATGGATGCAGGTGAAAAGTACAGCAGAAGACAGAAGCAAGTGGAGACGTGTAGTTGAAGCCCTATGTTCCATTAGGAACCCAAAGGAAACAATAATGATAATCTATTCACTTAACAGTTATGCGTCTTTACGATGAATACAGATCAGTTTATTGACTATCAGTTGTCACTCACTAATCATTTGATTAATTTCCGATAAATTAAGTGTTATTATATTAGTATTCCCTTGAGTTCACAGCAGGACATAGGGCTACAACAACACATGTCTACTTTGTCCTATCTTCTACCGTCCTCTTCATCCCGGACCACGATTGCCCGCAATCTCTTATCTCCTCATACGACCTCCTCCATGTCACCCTAGGAGGACCCAGTCGTAGCTTTCCACTGGGATTCCACTCGAGGGCCTGGCGCGCAATGTCATTCTTGGCATAACTGATATAGGTGACTCTTGAGTATAATGTCAACTGAAAAATTTAGTTAGGGACCAATCACATCGGTCCCATCAATCGATGGAGAAATCTAAAATTCAATTAAATAATTGATATGACCCGTTGCACAAGAAATGGCTCTCGTGGCCCGAGTGGTCCAGTGGATAGATAATGCTTTGGCGTTTGAAACTATAGTCACTGAGTTCAAGCCTTGGTGGGAACATCATCAGTCACTGCCGAATGTAGGTACATCCAGTTGACGAGTCCCAAATAGGACGAAATGCGCATCCTCGATTCCACTAATTAACCTCTAATTACGTACGTGGCCAGACATCGTCGAAGCATCTGCACAAGAAGCCGACATGTCAACCTGAGACCGAGCACTTCGGTCCAACCAGTAGACGGGAAAATCTAAAATTGAATTAAATAATTATTCAGGGATAGTTTGAAAAAAATCCCTGCTTTAATTAAAAACTTGTAACTTAGTTGTTTTTCGGTTGACTGACTGTTAAAGTCTTTGACAGTGGATGTTCATAACGAAGAATGACCTCTGTCTGAATACTAATCAACCTACAAATGATTATCGTAAGGGGGACGAAATCAGATAACATTCATCAGTTGAATATGAGTCTTCTATAAATATATCACAAATATTTAATGCAGTTTATTTCTCTATTTCACCACACTTTTTCTCGCTTTTTAGTTGCCTCAAACAATGATAATTACTACCTGGAAAATATCTATTCAAAGGAGGAGAATTTGCTGACAGATAATCCACACCAGCAGACGTTATTTTTAGCACTGAACTGTCTGTCTCAAAAATTAATTCTACAGTTATTTGAAACCTATAATAATAATAATAACAGTCATAACATATTCTGTAAGTCGTTTGTGTATCTTCTTATTTTTGGTAAGAATTTTATTTAGTTGTGAAATAATTGACAAGTTGACAGTTGCTATGTTTTCTGCTGATTTACTCATTGACTTGAGCATTCGACTTTTAGTCAGTCAGTCAGTGGGTGGGTTGGCGTCCCGGAGGTTCGTAATGTAGCTTATGATTTAAAATACTAAAGACTAGCTTCAGGTTACTGAGAAAAAAACAAATAAACTTTGTCTAGTGTTAGCGGTATAGTATGACACTTGCACATTTATGACACTAAAATCAAGGTATTCCACTTTAGTCAGAGTAAAATCCATCAACTTCATATTGTTTCATCACTTTGATGCAGTACAAGAAAGAAGTGAACAATAGTAGGATGCTGTTCAAATGAAAAAGAAGTAGAATTATTGAAAATGTTCAGAACACTGGTGATAAAAAGACATGAATATATATAGGGAAATGCTTTTAGACTTTATTATCTGTCACGATCCGTGATCTGAACATTATTCATCCTTTGTTGAACAGTAGAATTAAGGTGTGTATGTTTTCGTTACTCTAGTGACAAGGCGATTTGTAAGACATGAAAGTTAAGCTGAGTTTCCGTGGTAAATCTCGTCAGAACAAGAAAAACTAAATTTGCAGGATAAAATTATATATATATATATCACTAGTTCTCCTCACCGAGCTCATTAGATACTACAAAATAAATGCCCTAAAGATCCAATGAGAAGTTATGACCGGTGTTGTCCTCCATATCATGTATGATGACAATGGTCGGCGCTAGCGCTGCATCACAAATCGATGGAAGTTATAACTTACGGGTGATTGAATCCCAACCTGGTGGCTCGCTTCGTAACCCAAAGGTCCTCAGTTTGACTCTTGATGAGTTCACTGGTGCGTAGTGATGCAGAGGCCTAAACCAGGACGAAACAGGCCTCCAAAAATCTGTATTGAAACTGATCAGAATCTCCACAATACCTGAAATTTGTCATTTCTGTACAAAATATGACCTCAGTGTAATTCAAATACAGGGTAGTGAACAGACAACAAATAATCAACAATAGGTAATTCGAAGGACAAATTAGACAGCCAATGAATTCTTACCAAGAAATGTAGGACTGAGTTTCTTCTCTGTTCTGAAGAAATCAGGGATTTTTTATCATTCTAAAACCCGTCACTGAAGTATGAGTAATTATTGATTATGTGGACTGTCTAATCTCAGAATGCTTGGTCTCAGTTGAAGAACTAACCATAAGTTTACCAATTTATGTCTAACCAGTACTTTTATTTTTCTCTAATCATGTTACACACTTTATTTCTAAATAAGCAGCTATTCATAAATCGAGGTACTATTTCATTCTCTTTTTGTTTTCCATTTATTCACATTAGCTGACTAAAAATATCCTTTTCTTGCCTCCTTTTCAGCTACTAAATCATTATTATTGAATGCTTTCGCATTGTTTAATGCGATAGGTTGGCAAGAGTTTGACGGCAGTCTGTCTAATGAATTAGTGCGGGGGTGGGTTGACAAACGAAACACTGTACCGTCACTGGTACTACAAATCGAGTTACAGAATGCAGTCGAAATGAACAGTGCGAGAGCTAAAGATAATTTCATCATAATAGAAATTCTTATTCATCCACCGTCGTTTAGTTTTACCACTTCAGATACAACTGATAGTTTGCTACCCGGTGATATAGGCTTCCTAGAGGTAAGTCATTTGCTTTCTATGTATTTTTAATGCAGTCTTTAATTTCCAATTTATAAAATAATGGATGTTTTCTGTTAGCTATCAAAAATATGAAGAATTTAAAGTTGTGCAATCCTAATACAGGAGTGTTGAACGACTGAATCTGTAAGGGAGTACACATGAAGATTACATCCATGTGGAAACAAGTATACCGGAAAAACGTACAAAATGCTGGCTACCAGAACCGCCAAACATGTGCTAAACAGTTGACTCTTTATAAGACCATGAAGCTGTCACTATTAAAATAAGAGGATAATGGAGTATTGCCTGCATTTACACTTAAAATTGGGTTTACAAAACTTGAATGGGTGTATCCCACAGCACGAAGTCAACAGTAATGATACTATGTGAAATGAATGATATTTGGTATGCGATACAAAATTTTCAACACGTTATATTGCGAAATATGCACTCTATGTACAACTGTTGAAATAAAAAGTAGCGATAATTGTAACTATAACAACAATGACAATAGTTGTAAGCTTTTGGTTACAGCTGTTTTGACAAGCGTAACATCAGGAATTGCTTTCAAAGTCGTGAATTAGACAAACAATTTCTTTTCCTATTCCTTTGCGTTTTGAATGGAACATAGGGCTTCAGGCTTCAGCTCTAAATTCTCAGTAGCACTAATGTTTCTTGTCATAGGATTGGGTTGCTGGCCTCAAACACCAATCTCCTCTCTTTGCTGGTCCTACCACAGATTAAGCGAGGTTTAAGAGTGCAGTGGCCGGGAATCCATCCCCGGACCAAGTGTGTGGTTGGCGACGGTTCAAGAAATATGGAAAGTGTTGAACGCTGGTAAGTTTACCTATGTTCCAGAATATTTCAAAGATATGACCAATACATCCTCTTCCGAGTTTAAAGCCTACCTGGTTTTCTCATGTTTACTTGTCCCGAGTACCACTCAGAACTTAGAATTTTAAATATCATGTTAGTCAAGTTTATCACTGTAAGATTTGTCTCATCTTTTATTAATTGAGATAACCAATGACTTACACTAGTCTAACGGGACTATGTCGGATTCCCACACATCACTTAATAGCTTAGTTAACCTAGTTAGTAGTTCACCAACATCCTCACATATCTACGTAGTAATATCTCCTGCTTCCGCTGCTTTACCTCGTTTCATATCAAAGATGGCTTTCGCAACCCCAGTTACATTCAGGGAGAAAATGTCTACATCCTCCATAAGTAGGTTTTGCATTCTGGGCGAATTCAGCGTGGCAGTAGTCCGGTTAAATTGCATCTCGAAGTGTTCCTTCCAACGTTCCAATTGGTGATTAAACCACCTTTATTTTTGGAAATTTGTTTCCTTATCATTGGTTTTTTACAACCTGTTTTTCTCTGATAAGTCGAAACAGTTACTTTTGTCAGGATTATAGGAAATATTATGAAAATAATAATAATTTGCCTTATTCCAAAACAGTACTTGTGATACAGAATGGAATTCTCAGCATTTTTACTACAGTATTGCATCCAGTTAGTACATTATCAATAAATAGAATTCTACATAGATTAGGGAAATCTCAGTACATTATGACAACAACGTATTGGGATGTCGGTAGCAAAGCCAAAGTGTAACAGTGTTTGAAGGTGTTAGAAAAGTAGGAGCTGTCATATTTACTGGCGTAAGCGGAAGAAAGAAACAAAGCAGCACATAACGGAAGAGAAAGAGAGAGAGAGAAAATGAAAGGAAAGAAAGAAAATGTTGTATCTATAAATGATATGAGTTGGAAAGACGAGGTCCAGTTGTTCTACTGACTATTTAATGAATTATAGGTGTCACGCCTAATGCTTTCTTTATCACACAGAACACGAGCTAAGTAGGATATGGTTGAGTTTTTGTACTTGCTGGTGCGAGCATATAGTTTTCTATATAGGCTTCTGGTTTTACCTGATGCGATGCAAGGAGAGAGTTGTGAGTGAAGAGGGTGGTGTGAGTTAGATAAAATGGATTTGGCCCATTTTTCACATGAGTCCATGTGCCTGTCGACCAGAATATTAACAAGCTGGTTAAGTGGCACGTCGCTTACCCTGCTGACAACCTTTAACATCCTGCGTAATATGTTATAGTCTTTCTTCAGTAGCCCGGGAAAAACTAAGCCCAGGGGAACAATAGAGAATAATAGGCAGAATGAGAGAGTTAAGGAATTGTAGGAGTAAGGGTTGGGTTATACCAGAATGTTCTAACTTCTTGATGTAGAAGGTAAGACGAAATATTTTCTTAGAAATCGTCAAGATATGAGACGACCAGGAGAGATCGGCAGATAGAAGTTCGGTATTCTCCGCGTAGAATCGCTGAAACCTTTCAGTGAAAAAGGTTCAGCTATAAGTTCTTAGTTGGTGTTTGTTTTTTGTTTAACATACAGTTTAATGTTATCTTGATTAATCCTGTCAACGGCTTTGACTAACCATTAAATCTGTTGAAATGATGGGGAACAGTTAGTAACTATCTGACACTTCTTTTTGTCCCTTTACAATTAAGCAAAACTTAGTGTAAATAAGTGCAAGCATCAGATAGTATATCTGTTTTCAGTTTAAAACTTCTGAAATAGATTTCTTTTTCATAATCTTTTATATCTTTTCTACTCTTGTAGATTAGTTCAAATTTCGATGTCAAAGAACAGATATTTCGTAATTATCCACGTTTCTTAACTATACATGAATTGCTGACTATTTTGATATTATGGAAAGGCAATTCTGATTATAAAATATACAAAACTTCAGTTGTATTCACTTTAATCAATCCTCGGGGTATTCCATGTCCAAATCAATTGACACTGCCACTTGTACAAAATGAGCATACTGTGCGTTCTTTAGCTATGCCAGATTTATACATAACTACTAGTTTAATCAAAAGTACAGTTATAACAAATTGTCTTCCACCGGATATCAATGTCATTTCCGGTGAATGGAGTGTTCTAGCTGTTGCTTCAAGTGGACAAGTTAGTCGTGTCAAATTTCTTCTACTTGATTTGTTGAAACTTAACCAGTCATCATCAATGAGATCTGAAGAAAACTCCATTGTCGATGAGGTGATTTTTGATTCAGAAACCTGGAATTCTGTTAAATTTACTGATTTCTGTACAGTAGTGCAACAATCAGTTAAGCATGCATCAGGTCGATTGTATTCTGATAATCATACAAATACTGATGTTAACATTTTTGCTAATCACTCTCATCATGATTGTTCCACTGTTCATTGGAGTTCTTTTTTTAAAGATTCTGCTTACTAATTCTTTGTTTTTATGATGTATTCATGCAAATCTCAGTGGAATGTGCTGCTGCTTCCTTCCTGTAAATAAATACTCACAACTGAACTCTGAATATGTTTATATATTTCTTTTATCGGGAAGAATATGATTCTGATTTTCTACGCCAACTGCATTTTGATCCCTATCTTTTGGGAAATAAATTCTTTTTTCCTCAAATTAAATTGTTGTTTATTCCTAAAATCGAATGAAAAGAAGGTAGAGTGTTTATATAAAATCTGTATGAAGAATGCTATGTTATTAATGAGTGATAAAAATAGTGATTGTGAATAATAATAATAATAATAATAATAATAATAATAGCAGTAATTAGACTTAAACGACCAAATGAAATGGCTTTTAATAGACGTAAAGTCTTGTGTTCACGTTACACTGGAATTACGGTGGCATATAAACCAAACAACAAACTCTCTCAGAGATAAGCTTAGTCTGTCGGCCTAAGGATCCAACTAAGAAAAATAATATATTCAAGTATTGGATTTGTAGGGATTTTGTTTGATTGCTTGCAGGATTTCATCATAAGGTGACATCAGTTACAGAGCTACTGGAAAACCTGGGAGTACTGGACAGCTGATTCGTTCTAGTTTCGGTGCGTGCTGCGGAAGAGTACCAAACCAGGACGAAACCCTCCACGCAATCAAAAATAATATAATTTATCAAATGCCATTTAATGACTGTGAGGTCAATTACATAGGTCAAACTAGTAGATCGGGGTTAACTAGATTATTAGAACGTAACAATTTAGCTTGACCTAGAATGATTGACCGAGGTAAGTTAAATAACCTAGAAAAAAGTTCAGCCATTCCACTACATTCACTTGCATGTTATCACAAAATAGGGTGGGTGGGACAGAGTGAGAGTATTAAAAAGTAATCTAGTTAGGTGGAGATAGAGAGAGGTTGATCACTGAAGCTTTGTTTATCGATTCAGCACTGCGCACGTGCAATCGGAATGATGCAACGCCTATGCTGAAGATATGGAGAGTTGCAACAAATAGCAAGGGGAAGTTGGAGAGACAGAAAGAGAGAATATGTATATATGATAAATTGTGAAGCCGTGTGATTAAACTGATATGATTATGAGCAATAATCAATGCTCAAAACATCATCTAGTTGTTAATACTGCATCACTGTGTGATTATTACAATAAAATTATGTAATATGGAATTCAAGTTACACGGTATGAGGAGGCATGAACTGTTAAGAATTACCAAAGTATTGTCTAGGTCTTCTATTTCAGTGACAACAACTCTGTTCAAACAACACGCAGTTAAATGGATTGCTAAGTTGTTTTCAGTGATTCAACGAAGTGCAGAGTGTATTTTTCTAATACTCGGCCATCACTGACACTTAGTTACTGATAGTCATTTGACTACACAGATTTCTGTAGTTGTTACCCTAAGTTATTTATCTAAGTCGACAAGACACAATTTCATGTATGTGTTGATTTAGCAGTGAGAATCTATATTCCCCAACCTTACAGCTTACATGATACAAATTATTGTGATAGTTAGTACCTGAGAATAAGAAATGTCAATACCTTTACTGACATTTTTTAACCTGAGATAAATTTAATTGGTGGATGGTGACTAGCAGTGGAATCCAGGATGCGCATTTCGTCCTATCTGGGACTCATCAACTGGATGAGATAAGGTTTTCAAACAAGCACTTTCTCTAAAACTGTTCTCTATTCCAGTTTTTGACACTGAAAGGAAATGTAGATTAAGGCTGTATGTAGTCACCTAAAGAAACTAGAAGAAAATTGACAGACATCAGTTAATTATGGATTGTCACGATCCAGTCTGAAACACGTTGGATAACTCAGATTTCGTCGACACAGCAAAAAGACTGGGATATAAACTTATAAAGACTCTCCTTTACATATATCTCTCGAGGCATTTAGTGATATAACATAAAGTTAATAATGATGAGAATATTCAATCAAGTACCTTGAAATCACTCGGATTTATTAGCACTTGAAGTAAGCTGAATAGATCAGATTGCTGTAAATCTTGAATTCCCACACCCATGTTGAATAACACTTAACTTCGTGAGATTTTAGATTCATACTGCATAGAAATCGGTATTCCCTTCAATACTGTCATCAAAATACTACTGCACTTATGGTGAGTGTAAAATATCTCGCGAACTAAATATAACACTGGAGATTTGTGGAAGACACTGCTCGAGAATGGCTACCCACCTCGTTTTATAGACAAGCATATCAAGCCTAAGACTTACAAAGAACAACCCATTACAGTGCAGAAGAAGATGGTTTACATGAATGTACCCTTCAAAGGTGACCTTCTGGCTGACACCTTGAAGAAGAGGATATCTACTGCTCTCAGAAGGACATTCTTCGCTGCCACACTACGACTGACATTTTCCTCCCGGCCATTGTTCTTCAACTACTCTAAAGATAAACTATCGCATTTGACCACTTTCATGTGTATCTACCAATTCACCTGCTCTTGCGGAGCGAGGTCTATAGGTCGTTCGATGCGAGTTTTATCTAGAAGAGTTCAAGAACACTATCCCGCCTGGCTACGGAAAGGTAACAACGGAGCACCATAAGGAGCGCCATTATTGAGCATATACTCAACACTGGTCATTCGATTTGCAAGGAGAAGTCGTTCAAAGTCATGTATAAAGTCAAAAGAAGCCTTCCGAAATCGACAAGCTTCCGTATACTTTGTATTGCCGAAGCCTTAGCGATTTGGATAGAAAAGCCTGATTTATGCACACAGAAGAAACTTCTCCATCCCCTCCTACTACCGTGGGTTTAATTTCAAGTTTATCTGTCATCAACATTTTGTTATCAATTTTTTTTGCAATTTTCGTATAATAATTTTGTAGTAACTAACCCATTTAATCTTTTCACCTATTATCTAGTTTATTTTCATAATTGTCTCCATACTCCTTCACTAACATCTAATCTTTCTAAACATGTCTATATTACGTAACCCTACTCACATCTTACCAATCTTCACCCCACTTAGTTACAACTTTGATTATTAATCACACATTTTAATTGCTTAATTATTTTGATGATGTAATCAACAACCCACACTAACTGTTATTTTGATGTTGACAAACCTAATTTACACACACACACAAAATTAAGTGTATATATTTGCGACTGTACAGCTAAGTGAATGAATTCTCCGAAAAGAGACTCTTCGCTGAACTAATTTGTTCTTATTACAATACTTTTCCTTTGTAGACAATTTCTGTAAGTATTTCTACATGGAATCACGAAAAATGAGTTTGATAAGCGACTGAATAATGCTTACAGTTGTTGCCTAGTACACCTTGTGTTTTAAGCAGTCTGTGACATCATATATCTATCATTGTTTTTTCAGATACAAAAGTGGAAATGATTGTCTTAACCAACTAAATTTTCTATACACAAAAGTAACTTTCTTGTCAGCATAGAAACGCTGCAGTTACACATACTATTGGAGATTTTCTTTCCTATTGTGGACTGGAATATTATTTTCTTAATTCACATTCTAATAGATTCCCCGATCTGTACCCAACTCCCTTCTAACAGAGATACTATGGTATACATCGCAGAAAATTTTCTTTTCGACAGAACCTTTTTAAACAGCTGCAAAATCGTCTTTATATTTGACAAAAAATTCATATAATCAATCTGATACGGATAACTTTGTTCTAGAAAGTGTATTACATAACGTGAGGTGTAATCTAGGGGGGGGGTGATTAGGCGGAGATTAGGAAAAGGCGCATAGTTGAAATGACAATAAGCGTGAAAAATGGCTAACCAATATAAGTAATATGAAAGCTTATGGAAAGACGGACGATAAAGTGTTTATATGAAATTTGTATAAAGAATGCAATGTTATTAATAAAGGATATCAGTAAATGTAAAGTATTAAAGCTCAACAATAAAGTGAGATGAAATTATGGTAAAAACTTCACTGTGTCCACGGTAAGGCAGTTGAATTTGTGCAGTGCTTTTGAACTCAGAGGTCCATTCCCCTAATGTAATCCCTGAATTAATAATCCGAGATAATAAATGCGAAAGTGGAATATGCAGTCGCTTGTTTTACTAAAGAATAATTCCATGCGTATTTCTATTGTGCTAATTCATTGCAACTTAGTAAGATACTTCAGTTTCTCCTAAAGTTATAATAGCTGGATATCTTCCAACTGCTTTTGAATATAAGGTAGTCCCCACGCATTGGGTTTATGATACTGTATCTTCCACTGCAACCACTTTGACACTTATTATCCATTCATTGAGGACGTATTGCATTGTATTCAAAGATGCATTAATGCCTTCAATTAATATTAATCGATGCAAGTAGAAAAAAACAAATCAGTGCATTGCAAAATCACTCACCAGAATTTCATTGGCTGGCTAAACAAATAAGATCACCATGACGACGACATACAAATGCACTGATTTCTCGTTTGAATTTCTGACCAGTATTCTGATCTAAAAAGTATAAAGCAAGTCCATATTTAAAATATCGGAGAAGTGTGGCTTTATAAGGAGCTAGATATAAATTTTTGTTGTAAAAAAACACGAATGCTTACAAATGAACTATTTAGCACCGTTATGCCAGGGTCGTATAAAGCCTGATGATCTACCAGCCATCAGTCCAAGAACAATTTATTTTTTCGTTTGTTCAGCCTATACAGGTAAGAGAAAAATTGGAATTTCATTTTGTTTCCTTTTTCATTCCGTTGTGAAATATAATTACTTTTCTGATGGTTGTAAAATAAAGATGTGCCACACAAAATCTCAGACTCTGCGATACGGCCCAGACTGACAGCGGGTGCCTACCTCCAAGAATTTCCCTGGAAGTTTGATCCAAAAGGCAGTAGAGCAGCGTCAGGAGCTACGTTCCCGTGATTGCCAGTGACCAAAACGTATTCATACGCCATTTGGTCCTGTCGAATTTTGGAGCTGATGCACACCTTAGGGCTGCAATCAAGGTTTTCCAGCTTCCCTAGATAGACCAACATCTCCACCCGTCCCATTAGAAGCGACAGGTGTTCGCATTCGCTAATTCACTTTTGTCAGAAACACCCCTGCCTCGTGTAGGCAGTGAACAGGATTTATCTGGTAGAGGCCAACTGTTGGGAAAACCGAATTCTACCCATCATCGGTCGTACCAGGTCGTTTATGTTCATAAATAGGTACTCCTTAATGTATCAGTTTTAACTCATATGTATAACCTCTCGAATTATTTCTAAGCATCGCTTCTCCAAGTTTCTATGTAGACTGAGCACTACATACTATCTGAGAGATGCATTTTTATAAATTATATATATATATATATATATATATATACATATAGGATAGGCTTCACTTGACATAATGTTACTGATGTGACGATTTAGAGCAAAATGAAATTCTGGATTGTCACAGAAGTGACTTCACCTTTGAACTCTACTAATTACATATACATTCTTAATTTTCTTCTGTTATGCACTTGGCAATGTACATGCCTGCTTTATTTTCCAAAGCGTGTGAGATAAGTAATTAGGCAGATTAAGATATTCTCACACATTGTGACGCTTACTCACATAATTTACGCTCATAATTCGGTTGGTGTTTGAGTAAGGATTTTAAAAGTTACGAAAAGTATTCCTTAAGACTTAAGTTACGTTTCCGTAGAAATTCGGTTTAATTCCATGTCTGTTTCTCATAGATATTAGTTTTATAATTATGCATATTTGATAAGTGAGAAGTTGGAAGGAAAAATTCTCAACCAGTATTCTGTAAAAACTAATCAGAAGACAGTTCCTAAATGCTTGGAACAAATTTTCTTTGGAGGGTGGCACAATCCCGGGACCCACTGGCTGGAAGTTGAATGCTTCAGAGAAAGTCACAAGCAACGATCATCCTAATTTCACTGGTAGTTTGGAAACAGCTACTGATGTGATACATGTATCGCTGATAAACTTCAGAGATCATGTTGATATGGTCAAGAATGACTCACGCCAATAATTATTTGGAAAAATAACAATTTAAGCGAGGATATAAATTATTGCAAAAGAAATTTGCCACGCTTTCATCTCAGTACATTTGAAGAGGTAGAACCGAGGTGGTTAGTTAGAGTTTTAATTTCCTCAGGTAGTTGTTATTTGTACTGTATGTTTTGAGGAACTCTGTAATCATATTACATATTAAGTTTGGCTGTTTTAAAGAAGTTCTATCAATATTTTAACACAGCTGAAACACCACTTGTGGCGTTTACTGTACTATGCGCTTAAACGACTAGTGAAAGCTTTTACCCTCACCCAACAACTTACATAATGAAGTTAAAAAATGCGCCAAAAGTAAAAAAAACCCTAATTGTGAATGTTTTGATTTTGCTCAATAGAAATTAGTTGTGTTTCTCCCTGTGAGATATTGACTAATTAGAGATGTGTCCCAGCAGATAGCTTTCAAAATAACCGAATGAAGATACCAATGAACAATTCATGTAGCTCATCTAGAGATCACCTCCTCAATACTAAAGGAGTTCTGAATCGTGCAGTTATAAAATCTTCAGCTTCAGCAACTAGTTGACAGTTGGCAAACATACCTCACTGATGAGTGCTGACAGGCACGAAACGATAATCCCGAGTTTCTAAAAAGTAATTTTTCGTAGTCATATTTTAATAGCCTTCATTGAGTAATGTCAGCAAATGTGACCCATAGACAATGATGAAAATCCAGGACTATGATCTGAACCAACTAATAACTAGCAGCTGGCTTAGATGGAGAAATCTGCAGTGGAACAGTAAATAATACTGTATATAGATGACAAAACCAGCTAAAGTTGGTGGATTGTCTAGGGAGACACTGGTGGAGTATAGTATAACCATGGATAATTACAAACATGTAGCTAAGGTCATAAGTCTCATTTGTAGTAGCTATTCAAAAGAAGATTATTCAACTCACCTTTTAAGTGTTAATTGGTGGATGGTGACTAGCAGTGGAATTCAGGATGTGCATTTCATCCTGTTTGGGACTCGTCAGCTGGATGTACCTGCATTCCACAATGAGTGGTGATGTTCCCACGGAGACTCGAACTCAGTGCCCATAGTTTCAAACCTGCGACCGAGCACTTCGGTCCAATCAATCGACGGAGAAATCTAAAATTCAATTAAATAATTGATATGACCCGTTGCACAAGAGGTGGCTCTCGTGTCCCGAGTGGTCTAGTGGATAGATAACGCTTTGACTTTTGAAACTATGGTCACTGGGTTCGAGCCTTGGTGGGAACATCAACAGTTACTGGGGAATGCAGGCACATCCAGTTGACGAGTCCCGAATAGAACAAAATGCGTGTTATCCTGGATTCCACCAATTAACTTCGAATTACGTGGCCAGACATCGTCGAAGTATCTGCACAAGAAGCCGACATGTCAACCTGAAACCGAGCACTTCTGTCCAATCACTCGACGGGAAAATCTAAAATTGAATTAAACACCTTTTAAATGGTAGGCTGAGTGCAGTGGAATACATTTATCCATGTATAATTATGTAGTACAGTTATTTCCGAAAATGCATGCTTGGCTGGTTACACAACTACACATGAAGTGCAAAGTGAAATTTAGTGCATCCAAGGTAGATTCAGTGCAGGAAAACCTTGTTTACGAAGTTCAACAAGTAAGAGATTTAAGAAACAGACATCCTGAAAATCTCTATGGAACATTTTATTCACAGAATATCTATTTTAGCATATTCCGTTTCTCATTAAATATTGCATATTACATTAATTTTAAAAGTGTGACTTTTCTTAGCCACTTATTACACAGATTGTAATTAGTTTCTTCCATCATATTGTCGTGTACTTATGTTCAAGAGTACCAGTTTTCTTCGTCAATTGTTATGCTTTTTTTAAAATTTACTCTACATACCCCCCCCCCCAGGAGCTGTAAGCACAGCATTTACAGAGAATAATGTATTGTCAAATCCACCTGTATATTTGTTTTTCTTCCGTAGATTTCACTTTAGAAAGACGATGTTTACAAGAGAGTACTTATCGTGAAATACGCAAATATTCACAAGAAACTTATGGACTTGATGTCTGCGTAAGTAAAATTGCCTTTTTTAAATGGACGATTTATTTAGCATACATTCGTGCTGTAAATATACATCATATTAGGATACATAATTATGTATTCAATTATGGTGTCACATTTTTAATTTGATAGCATATAACCAACATCATACCATTGCACAATTCCACTGTCATTCTAGGAAACCGGCAAATGTGAGGAGATGAATAGTATAATGTCAGCTGGTATCATATCAATTTCCTTTTTACATTGCTGACTAAATTCTGTCAGTCAAGTTTCCACTATAGTCAACAAGTTAACTGACTGGTTTTGAAATATTAGAGAAGATTTGTAGCTCAGGTGGATGATTTGCAATTAATAGTGTTCTCTGAGCTGGTTGGTTTAGTTTCGAAGCTTTTGTTGTCCTTCTGGACTACACATCTTCAGTGCAATTTTTAGCATGAAGTGAACTGATTTAAATTTCCCTTGAGTGATAGAATTGCGCTGAAGATGTTGCCCAGAAAGACAACGAAAGCTCCGCAACCAAACCAACCAACTCAGAGAACACTACTAATTGTAATTGACTGGTTATTGTGGAGCATGTGGGTTTACTGATTACAAATAAATAAGTCTAGTAGGAAGAAGTATCTCACTTATTCGAAGAAATTAAAATGACCACCCCAACTCCCTTGTCAGCTCTGGCAACCATAATAATGATGATGATGATTTCTAAAACTTTAAACCGTGTAATTAGTTAACTCTGTGTAAATAATATCAGCAGTTCATGCTCATTTTTCCGTTGCTTCATCTATTCTTCTCTTTAGTATTGCAACACTTTGTCCCGTATCAGTTCAACAGAGGCTTTACGAGTTAAGTATGCACTCTACTATCATTTTGCATATTACACCAGACATATTTGTTGTTATAAGCCGTACGCATTACAGTTATTGTGACAACAGCATATTATTATTATTGCATTAAATTTAACCCTGAAGTGTAAAGATTTCCAAATTGGAAAATGCTCTGAACACTTGTTTATTTAGACTTTCCTTATAGCTCTCCAGGTACTTGTGTAACGACAGAAGACAAGGACCAGGCAACAGATCGTTTACTGAGAAAATCAACAGATATTTATAGATTTTATGTACATTATTATTCGTTATTTCAGCAGGGAAGTAACGTCTTCTGATTGGTTGTTTTTCTGCTGGAGGTTATTCTGTCATCTCTTTGCCGCCGTTTCTTGGACAGTCAGTTGATATATCTGCTAATCGTATCCGTCCACGCTAAGTCTGCTGTGACTGGTTGTTGACTTAGTCTTTGTTCTCGTTTTTTTCTCATGACCCCGATTTGAGAGGTAAACACTGACATAAATTGGTTACAGGATTTCATCATGAGCTGACATTGGTTACAGAACCATTGGAAAGCTGTTTGATCCTAGTTTGGGACTCTTCATCGGTACGCACCCACACCACGAGGTTCGAACCCAGGACCTTCCGATTACAAGGCGAGCTCCCAGGCTTTCCAATGGTTCTCTAACCAATGTCAGCTCTTGATGAAATCCTGTTACCAATCGATCAAACCCTTACAAACTGACACTTGAATATTGACGTAAATTGCTGTCTGTCAGTTTTGGCTCCCAGACAGCTCTCACCACACCTGGAATTCAAGTTCTTCTGTTGAAGCTATTAACAGAAGTTCAGGTGTTGCTTTCACAGTCAGATTAAGAGGAAGTAAATTTAATGAAGAAGTGTTTATGCGAGAAACTTATATTAGCATAAATCAAAAACTAGCAGTATAAATGTCATTCTTCGGCACGAATAACCATAGTGTTTAAATTTCACTCAATCTGTGGTGGTGTGATACAGACAGTGTGTTCCAACGGAAAATTATACTCACATATTTCCACAGTTCAATGCTCTATCAGAAAAAAATAAGATATATATATAACTTGAAAATATACCTTGGCTTCCGTGTCTTGCCTTTTGCTGTTACAAACCTACTTTGAAATAGACAAAAACTCTGGTTGTAATATCTCAAAAATATCAATTCCAGATAACTGAGTTGCATCATTTCATCCTTCTTTCATAGGTCTATTGATGTAGGTCTCGTTTATTGCTTCTTACGGTGACTTATATTCTTGACTATGTGTCTCTTCTCAAATCTATGCAGTCAGGATGCTTATATGCTGGACCGGCCTTCATTATCATTTCCTTTCAGGTCTGACTAAGTTCATCCTTTCTTGATCATATTATTTTCTCGTTTGTATAGACAATTTACACTTGTTTAGGTTGCTTATTAATAAAATATTAGTATATTTTTATTTATTATCAATCTAATCATTAGTTTCTATTCGACAGTTCATTGATCCAAGACCGCTGGAAGATAATCTGCTGCCGTTAGAACAAGTTCAATATGCAGAGTTATTTAAAAAACTTAGTCATCAATACTGTCATAATGACTTGAACTGCTGTCCAATTGTAAGTTGATTCACAAGCTTCACTGTTTGTATATTAGTAAAAACTTTGAACATAAAATAATTAGTGTTACTAGTCAGATGTTTATATAGCTATACACGCAAATATACAGTTGATTTTGAGTTTGTTACTACATTTCACTCTGAGTTATCGCAAATGCCAACTAGACCCATATGCAATTGTTTACTGATGCTGAAGATGGTGACGACACTTTATTATTACTACTATTATTATTATCTCATTTTAAGACTTCATCATATTGCTCAAACTAAAATACATGAAGTAGAACAGGAAGATATACCGGGTCAGCAATATTTGTTGATGGGTGATATCACTCTCACACAGGGGTGTTTGAAAATGGTGAATCAGGAAAGTATTGAATTGTCTTGAGTTTCGTAACTGAAGCTGATGTTAGATAATTGGAAGCAATTTTCAGGAAGCCCTGGACTTAGACTCCATGCTTGTTGGCACTCATCGGCTAGGCATATTTACACTACTGAAGGAACTCAAATCCCTTCTGAGATTCCAACCTGAGTCCCCCAGTGTTGTTGTCAGTGACATTAATACTGAGCTATTTGGGCTCACAGTTGGCCTCCTGTAGGACTGTATTGGATACTAGGTAGTAATCGATGTCATGCATATAGTCCCTGGATGGATGCACAATGAATCCTAACGTATGTTTATGATGCTTGAAATCTCTTAAAAACACTGCTAATAAAGAAGGGCACTTAGAAAACTCCAAAAAAGTCACGTGATTAGATACAAGTCAGCTTGGCAAAGTAGGAAATTTTCTATAGTTTGGTTTGTAAGGGTTAGTTATGTTAGTTTTTACGAGTTGATTATGGATTGATATCAGTTAAAGAACCATTGAAAACCAGCAGGGAGTACTGGACAGCTGCTGTTTCATCCTAGTTTGGGAATCATCGGCAGTACGCACCCACTGCCAGGGTTCGAACCCAGGACCTTCCGGTTACAAGGCAAGCTCGTATACCATTCAGCCACTAGGACCCGATTCAATGGCCAGTGCATGAATTCTAACTTATACCAATTCGTGATTTAGCGCGACCCCAAACAATGTCGTTGGTGGGACATCCATCCTCACACGTGACATCTGGATGGACCTCACTGGTCATGACTTCTCACTAGAATTCCAAGGAACTCCATCCTGAATGGCTTGCCTTGGAACCGGAAGGTCCTGGGTTCGAACCCTGGCAGTGGGTGCGTACTGTCGATGATTCCCAAACTAGGATGAAACAGCTGTCCAGTACTCCCTGCTGGTTTTCAATGGTTCTCTAACTGATATCCATCCGTGATCAACTCATAAAAAGTAGGAAATACTCTCCTCTAATGGTCTAGAAGTATACAACACAATTTTAAATGTATTCAGAGTGTTTTACTTCTGTATATGATTGAATTTATGATAGATCTTACTTATTTTGCTCTTCTGGTTTTGTTGGATCAAAAGAGGAGGATCAATAAATTATTTTTTCAGCGTTCACAGAATTAATGGTCATCATTCAAGAGTCAGTTATATCACATGATAGTAGTACTTTATTTGATTTTCATTTTTATGACTTTTAAAGTCACTTAAATGGTGGCAGTTCACCAGTGATTACTGCTGTGTGCTTGTTATTTATTAGTGTGGTCAGTGTATTGTTACTTGGAGCGATAATTCTCACAATAAAATGAATGGCATTCAACAAAACTGTCAACTACATCTGTAGCAACACATTTAAGTGAAGAATATTGTTTTCAATTAGATCTCATCAGGCTTAACTCTAATATACATAACTTTACAAATAAAAATTCAAATATAAATCAGTCATGGTGTTTTGTCAATAGGATAATTAGACTGTGCATATCAGTTGCGCAACTAGTCATGATAATAATCCTATCATTGACAAGGAGGAAAGAAGTGAGGCGATTTGGGATATGAAGAATAACGAAAAACAGCATGATTAAACAAAAAACTGTTCAGGTAGAAGTAGTTGATAAAGACTACGAAAAACAAATGGACCGATTAAGCAATGCTAGATTGTAAGGAAATGTAAATAAAATGTGTTTTGATGAAGATGTGATAAGATTAAAGGGTGATAAGAGAAGGGTTGAAAATATAAGTAACAGGTGGTGGGGACGTCATCAATTGTTGATTTATTAATAAGCCAAGGGAGAGATAATCGCTGTACGAACTTCTTTTGAATGCATAGTTTTGGCCTAATTGTTCGAATGCCTATCGCCTCAGCTGTGTGCAGTAGACGAATACGAAGTCTATTGGAAAGTTTCGGTGAGATGCCATGAATTACCTTGAAAGCTTTTGTTTTCGCTATTACATGACCACTATCAATTAAATGTGACAAAATGGAGCTACAGATTGTTTTTGTCTGTCCTTTGTCAAACTACATTTGTCTCAAATACACGTTTCCCGAAAGTCTGAGACCTAGTTATATAAGGATTTAAGCGCAAACCATACAGTAGATTTTGTGCAGTCTTGAAGTCGTTTACTGTATTAAAGCAGTTCACAGTACTAGCTGCTCTAAAAGGTGCATTACAGGTGACATGATGAATACTGATGAAATCGTGGGAAAATACTCATCAGGAAATTAGAAAAAAAACAAGAAGTTCCATAAAGATATCTTTCGGTAATTTCAGAAAATGATACTTGTATGACACAGTGATGCAATAAAGAAGTAATTTTAAGCTAGATCTGTGTTACACTCAGTAGGAAATTCACTTTTCTGTATGACTGGATCAATTAGGATGCTCGATTAAATTATGGTGTGTTGCGTATACAGAGTGAGGTTGGCTCATTCTTGATACAAGAGGAAATATCCTTCTCTTTTCCAGTGAAGTATATTTACTGATCTTGTATCTGTTATGAGGTCAGAATTAAATGAAATTATTCACATTCTTAAATACTTAAGTCAACACTATACCATCAACTATTAGCGTATACTAACTAGTTTATGATTTGCTTCTAAAATCCAAATTGTCAGCATCAAAGATTATATTTGGTTTCATATTCCCTCCTCTTTACACAGATATTACTTGGGCAGAAGTGTGGTTTGCCTCTCTTACCGAAAAGGATTCCTTCCAGCGTTTATGAATGTATTACAAATCGTATGAAACAGAAGGCCTCCAACCCATACTGTACCATCCTCCAATATACTGACTTAACAGAATGGTATCATTTAAACTGCAATGTAGTTGGTGAGCCTGAATGGTGTTTAAATCCGATGAAATGCCTTGATAATACACTGGAAAATGAAGTGAGCCTTAAATCTTGTCATTCTATGCTCTAATCTGTACAGATTTGTCTGTTATTCCTTTTTTGTCTTCTAGACTTTTATTTTCAATATAATGTGAGTAGCATACTTAATTGAAGATAAATAGTTAATTCAGTCCTGACATATTTTCCGTTTGTTGGATAAGAAATACTTAGACACAGAAATAAAAGAGTAAGCACACAAAGAGACCTGTACTTTCGTTTGACTTTTGAATGGCTAGGGTGAGCCGATAATACTTTTAAAAATTGCTTCTATTCGCTGTTCATCTGCGTTCAAACAGTACAGTAGAGGAATACATGATGCAAGGAAAAAGTACAGTATGCGTAACCTGCATAATCGATCGCTATGAGCGATACCTTCAGTCCGAATAATCCATTATCGTGCTATAAACCGCGGAAGATATATATATATATATTCAGTTGTAGTAATCACCAGAAGTAGTCTGATACAAACTACCTTTATAAAGAAATTAATTGTTTTAATCTCTACATATTTTTGAAGGCAGTGTAAACCAAATAAAATTAATGTTTTGGTAACATGTGAATATGGATTTATTTTCGGTTTAGAAATCATAGTTAAAGGGTTTCATCATGACCTGATATCGGTTAGAGAATCATTGGAAACCAAGGAGTACTAGACATCTGTTTCGTCCTAGTTTGAGGCTCTTCATCAACACATGCCCCCTGGGGTTTGAGCCTAGCAGCTTCTGGTTACAAGGTGAGCTTTTCAGTTCAGCTGTCAGTTCATGATGAAATTCTGAAACGAATCAAATCTCTGTTAAACTAAAACTTCAATATCAATATGATGCTGACTAGTCACTGGCCGTATTCAGCTAGGTAGTTACATGGCTTCTAGTGACCAGTAGGGTTCACCTGGTCGAGTGTGAGGACAAATACTCGCCATAGATGACATTTGCTAGAGGTAGCAGCATATCATGAATTCGCAGAAGTTGGAATCTCTGGACTAGCCATTAGATCGCGTCCCAGTGGCTTAATGGTCTACCAGCTGGCTGGCCTTGTAACCAGAAGTTCCTGGCTTTGAATTTCAGCGGGCACGTACTGCCGAACAGTCTCGAAGTAGGTCGAGACAGCTGTCCAGTACTCCAATGGTTTTCCAACCTATGTTACCTCATGATGAAGTCCTCAAACCAATCAAATCAAATCCTTAGAAAACGAAACCTGAAGAATTAAGTTGTATTTTTTACACTACTTATAAGTAGACTGAAGTGTAAGGAAACATTTTAGAGAAGTGTATTCTATACTGTACTTTCAATCATATATTTGTATGATTTTTGTACTTCTATGTCATTACTATAACATTGTTGGTTCTTATAACATTAACACAGCCTTATGAGAATCGGAAGAAGATTATTGAAGAATGGAATCAAGAACGGGATTTTATAGCCTGGATTTTTCATTATGTCGGGAATCTCTGTTTACGTGAGAATCTGATAACGGAAGAAGAGTTTAATATGTTAATTTTAACAGGTAAGCTTCAAGATATTATTCCTTTGATGTAAAGGTAAGAAAAAATTTTGGTTCATGGTAGTCACTGTATTATTATTCCCTTGGGTTCCGAGTAGAACATAGGGCTTCAACAACACATCTTCACTTTCTTCTATTCTCTGCCGTCCTCTTCAGCTGGGTCCATGATTTCCCGTAATCTCTCATCTCCTCCTCACACCCTAGGACGATCAAGTGGTCTCTTTTAATTCAGATTCTATTCGAGCAATGGCCTGCATTGCACATGATGACATTCGATGGCCTCCTGAACATATGCGCGATCCATTTCCATTTTCTCCTACATATTTGTTGAGCAATAGGCCCTTGATTAGTTTGTTGCCATAGTTTCTTGTTGCTAAATCTTTCTGGCCAGCCGTCTGATCTTCAGTATGGAGCCAGCTAAGGTGGCAGATGTTCATAAAAGTCTTCAGGGGCCTGTTGGAAATGCTTTTCGTGATACGCTGGCCAATTTTCTGACGTGTATAGAATAACTGACTGACTTCACATTTGTGTTGAACATCGGTAGTCACTTTATAAAATAACTTTATGTGTATTCTCCTAATATGTCTAAACATAGAAGACAGGGGTCTTTGATTTACATCATGCAGATATTTTCACTGACTTCAAAATGTTTTAACAGATTTTCCCCTTGACCTACTTTTCAATACCTAAGTTAGTACGGTAAGAAAACAGCCAAGCATTTCGTGCAAAGCCATATATGTTTCATCAGAAAATATATTAAAAGGCGATACTTTACTCAATAATATCATACTCAAGCATATTACATTTGCCTGACAACAGAATTGGATATAATCTCAAGTACCTAGACAAAAAGTTAGTTTTAACCCTGACACACATTAATGATGTATTTTCTTCAAATTGTGATTATTATTATTATTATTATTATTATTATTATTGTTCCCTTGGGTTCCTAGTGGAACATAGGGCTTCAACTGCACGTCTCCACTTGCTTCTGTCTTCTGCTGTTCTTTTCACTTGCGTCCATGTTATTCCATACTGTTTCATCTCCTCACACGATCTCCTCCATGTCACCCTTGGACGTCCCACTCGCCGCTTCCCTTTCGGGTTCCACTCGAGGGTCTGACGCGCGATGTCACCCAGAGGCCTTCCCAGCGAGTGTCCAGTCCATCTCCACTTTCTCTTGCATATTTGTTGGGCGATTGATTCCTGTTTCGTTTGTTCCCATAGCTTCTTGTTTGTGATTCTTTCTGGCCATCTAATCTTCAGTAAAGAACGAAGACAGTTGTTGATAAAGGTCTGCAACCTGTTGAAAATATTCTTGGTGACCCGCCAAGTTTCTGATCCGTAAAGCAAAATTGACTTGACGTTTGTATTGAAAATCCGAATTTTGTTGTTGATGCAGGCTGAGTGACGAAGATTTCCAGATTGGTTTCAGGTTGATGAATGTGTTTCTCGCCTTCCCGATTCTCGATTTGACATCTTCGTCCGTTCCTCCTGTAGTTGAGACAATGCTCCCTAGATAAGTGAATGAAGTAACCTCTTTCAAATCCCATCCCTTTGATGGTGATTAGCGCTGGATGTTGCTGCTGCTGTTGTTGTTGGTTGGTTATTTTCATAACCTCCGTCTTGTCTATGTTCGCCTGGAGTCCTGTCTTTGCTGCTTCTTCGACCGGTTTGTCTGTTTGTAAGTCTTGTAAGTCTCCGATTTTGTGTGACATCAAACATAAATCATCCACGCGCGAAATCCAGGTCTTCTAGGTTCTTCACGTCGGTCCAGGATATCCCTGTCTTCTCGTTTCCCACTGTCTGACGCATAATCCAGTCCACCTCAATTAGGAATATCATTGGTGATAATAAGCACCCTTGTCTGACTCCTGTGTTTACTCCAAACGCCTCGCTGAGTTTTCCGTTGTGGATCACTTGACATGTGCCGTTGTCGTACAGTTGTTGAATAAGGTTGATGAATATTTGCGGTACGCCGTAGTACTCGAGTAGTTTCCAAATTACTTCGCGGTCAACGCTGTCGAAGGCCTTCTCAAAGTCTATTAAGGAAGTTGAGGTAGAGATTTGATTGCCATTCCATGCTTTGTTCGATGATAATGCGTAGAGTTGCAATTTGGTCAGAACATGATTTGCCTTTCCTGAATCCAGCTTGTTCTGGTCGGAGTTCTGTATCCAGCGCGTCCTTGATTCTCTCCAGGATGATGTGACTCAGGATTTTACTTGGCGTCGATAGGAGCATGATTCCTCGCCAGTTCTTGCAGAGTCCCAGGTCGCCCTTCTTTGGTAGTTTCACCAGGTAACCTTTCCTCCAGTCAGTAGGCACCTTTCCCTCTTTCCAGATCTTTTGCAATAATGGGGTCAGCATATCTGCCGTCGTTTCTGGGTCCGCTTTCAGTGCTTCCGGGGGTATTCCACCTGGTCCAGCTGCTTTTCCAGCTTTCAGAAGCTTGATTGCATTCATGACTTCAGTTTTCGTTGGAGGATTGGTGTCAACTTGCAGTTGTGTACGTGCTGTTGTTGGTATTTCTGGACGGGTTGTAGGTGGTGGTCGGTTCAAGAGTCCTTTGAAGTGGTCCGCCCATTGTTTAATCTGTCTTTCTTCTTTGGTAATTGGGTTCCCTTGGCTGTCTTTTATAGGTTTCACTTGTGTTGATCTCTTCCCGGATAGAGACTTGGTTATCTGATATAGTGTCCTCAGATCCCTTTTGCCTGCTGCCTTCTCAGCTTCAGTAGCCAGGTTGTCGTAGAATTGTCTTTTGTCCTTCCTGGCACTCTTCTTCACTTCTTTGTCCAGTGCTGTGTAAGTTGAGTTCAGCGTCTCTTTCTCTTGTCCATCTTTGCATTGAATCATTTTCTCTTTCACTTTTCTCCTCTCCTCTATTAGTTTCCAAGTGTCTGTTGAGAGCCATTCCTTGTCTTGTTTCTTCTTTCTTCCTAAAACCGTTGAGCACGTTTCGTTGAAAATTACCTTCAGAGAGTTCCAATGGTCTTCCACGGATGATTCCTCAGTGGTGCCACGTAGTGTTTCCTGCTTTGCTCTGACAGTTGCAGTGAAAATGTCCTGTGTGATTGTGTCCTTCAGTTTGTGAGTGTTGAACTTGCATTGTGGCCTATCCCCAGGTATCCTCGAGGCTTTCAGCTTCACCTTGAAAGTCCCTTGTACTAGATAGTGGTCTGAACCCACATCTGCTCCTCTCCTCGATCTTGTGTCCAGTAGGCTCCGTCTCCACTTCCTTGAGATTGAAATGAAGTCTATCTGCTTTTTGGTGTGTCCATCTGGTGAAATCCATGTTGCCTTGTGTATATCCCTGTGTTTGAACACACTGCCACCAATCACCAAATCATTGAAGGCGCAGAAGTCTGAGAAGAGTTCACCATTTTCGTTCATTTCACCGAGGGCCTCACGACCCATGGTGAGTTCTCTTCCTGTATTGTCTCCTCCCAGTTTCGCATTCATGTCGCCCATCAGGATTTTGATATCGCTCTTTGGGACGTTGTCCATTACTGTTTGTAGTTGACTGTAGAAATCCTCCTTCTTCTCATGTTCTGAGGCGTTTGTAGGCGCGTAGCACTGAATGATTGTAACCTTCTTTCCTTTTGAGTTGAACCTGGCTGTCATTATCCTGGAGGAGATTGGTTCCCACTGCATGAGAGCTTTAGCCGCTGTTGGTGACATCATGATGGCTACTCCCTTGGTGTGCTCGTGATCGTCCTCTGGGTGACCGGAGTAGATTATTGTCTCTCCAGTTGATAGTTGGCTCCTTCCACATCCGTTCCATCTGCTCTCGCAGATTCCCAACACTTCTATTCTATATCTCCTCATTTCTGTGGCTACCTGAGCAGCCTTCCCAGCTTCGTACATTGTACGAACATTCCACGTCCCCATCCTTATTTTCGCTTTCATCGAAAGAAGGCACATCGGCTGACTGGCTTTCCGAAGGCTTTCACCAGCCCGCGTCATTTCACTTCCCTGATTCCAGCGAAAAATAAGGTCACTATTTGTAATTTTAGAATTTTGAATATATTTGTGCGTTGAAGTTTTAGTAGCAATTTGGTTAAGTTTTGGGGGTGGAGTTGCTAGCACCACGCCCCAACCCTCCCTCTTTATCCGGGCTTGGGACCGGCTAGAATACTAGTGACCTAGTAATCTAGGCGAGGTTTTCAAATTGTGAACGAGGTAGTTTTTTCCCTGCCTTCTTGGTAATTCAGCGAATATGCAGCTTTAAATTGTATAAATTGTTCTGTATATTATTACTTAAAAGGGTATACTGTCTATCTCCTTTCGATTATAAAAAGTAGTTAACGCAATGATGTTTTTTATCACTATAATAAAATCCATTCCAATTAAGTCACGTATACAAAATAGGGGAGAAATCCTATGTGTCACCTACGACTTAGATAGCTGATGGTAGTCTACCTACTTCTGCTGATGAATTCTAGAGTTCTACGTGTTAATATAGCAGCTGTATTTTGGAGCCATGTATCCTGTTTGATTGAATCATAATTATTTTTCAAGATTTTAGGTCACTGTACAACATTCATTTAGCATCAGCATCATTTTGAGAAAAAAGATTGGAAGCGAAAATACCAGTGAGCAAACCATTCGTCCTTTGTCGCTAACATTCGACGGAACTGTTGCAAGAACCAATACATGTATTTATTAGGGTGATCAAAGGGCAGTGTAACTAAATCAACTTTCAGAAACTAATATCTTTAAATTTAGCTAGAGGTTTGATTCTAACTTTTAGTTTCCTTATTGCTACAGAGTGAACAGTAACTTCATGATAAACTTCGCATTTCACAGGTTTTTATCTTTGTACCTGACATGTTTTAGTAATTTCGTGGTTTCCAAGCTTTATTTTTCCATTACACAGTTTTTCCCCTCATCAACGTGTCAGCTTGAGTGATTTTTCATGAAAAAGAATATTTGTGATATTTCAGGTAGATATGAGTGAAGAGATTTTTTGGATCCCAGAACGTTCGTGGGTCTGATGGTTCGCCGATCTGCCGTTACAAGTTTAACTTTTTTATAGAGGCTTTTTTTACTTCAATAATTCCTGAATATATACTTTTACTAAGGTCTATATTGTAGGGCTACTTATGCAGAGTGTAGCGTCGAAAACCGACGTGTTATGGTTTGAACCCTGGGAACCAATCTTCGCGTTCTACTGTTTAGCTAACCAAAACTCCCTTGAGTGACGCACAGATCAAACAAGTTCTCAGATATAAAAGAGGTACTATACAACAAAATTATCTGACCAAAATCAACTCTAAGAACTACCTTAGAACCAAGCAGAATATTCTCAATAAGGTGAGATCAAAACTCTGTCATCAGGAATCATGCCCCAAACACTTTCCACAGACAGTTTAAAGTCTGGATGACCCTGACTCCACTCAAACAAAATCCCATAGTAACTGCAGCCAAGTTTATCATAAGATATTTGATTTGTCAACAAGAGTAGTAATTCTTTTCATAGATCTAGATTTTCTGGGTCTTTTTTTTAAAATGTGACATCAGAAAAGCGTTTGTAAGCAGTTTGTATTTCGAAAAAAAAACAGCAGACTGAGCGAAGAAATATATTCCTTTTCAATTAGTCCCTCATCATCGGCTCTACACTAATTTTTTTACCAATCAAGTGGTTATTTTAATTAATCAGTTTTAGTTATAGGCGGGGGTGAAATCGAGAGGTTTGTATTTCAATAGGTTACTGTATAGGTAGTGTTCATCGATGACTTTTACACATACACACTCCGGATTCATTTTTTCAGAAAAATCAGAATAATCATTATAATGAAACTTTACAACTTGTTTGTTAAATAGTAATTAGGCAAGTGTGAACTTGAAAAATAAGGTAAGTTTTAAATATTATTTAAGTGGTGCTTCTCTTAGCTCATCCAATCTAGTATAACCTCGACAATCTGGTAAATGTTTATACTTATCTTCTTATACACTACAGTTATCGTTTCCTTGTTAACTTGCAGGCTTTTGTAGTTGATTATCTTGGAAACTGTTAATGAATTCAGGGTGTGTACTGAACTATGTGTATATGCTGTGAACTTGTGAGTGTTTAGGCCTCTATGATTTCAAGGTGACTTTTTGTAGTTACGTTCACTTTAAAAATTGACATTCGATTACAAAATATCACCAAAAACAACAACAACAATAACAACTTGTGTCTTCATTTCTTTCAGAATTCTCATCGACACTGTCTTCCTTGATTAAATCAACTGATGCAAATTATGAAACACGCATGAATCACCAGTTGCAAACAGAATTTCAAAAGATCCCAATAAACACCGACTGGATATTTTCAGATCCATTAGTGTTGCATCGAGAAATTATCGATATCCAACACTTTGTCCAGAATGAACCGAATGTCGGAAAATTCATTGATATTGCACCAAAATTAGTATCTGATTCTAGTGCAAGATCAGTAAATGGTATGAATTACAAGGCCTTAAAATGTCAGCCTGTAGTAGATCAGCTACTGCAGGATAATTTGCAAACATTAGTGAAACAGCTAATTCAAAAAATCAATTACGGTAATGCAGCATATGAAGATCGGGCAATGAAAGTACTGTGGAGATCACCTAATGGCATTGATCAAAAGGTATTTTGTGTTACCGAAGTGAAAGTTTCTAAGCTGGCTAATAACTCATATTCTGTCGGTATTTTTTTTAAAGTTAAGTGGTAATATAATATGAGGCTTTTGAGTTTTAACCAGCCTACCAAAAGAAATGAACAATCTTCAAAACACATCTGTACCAATAATGTATCTCGGTTTTGTAACTACATATGGGTTTAGATAGGTGAAAACTATCTACTGTATTAATTTGCCACACCGTATTTTCAGTACAAGTATGGAATTTTCAGCATGGATATCGGTAGCCCAAATTTTGCAGGCCGACCATAGATATCGGGTGTGCGTCGGCAGGGGACCGAACCCCGGCCCATGTGCATGGTCGGCGAGAGTCCTAACCACTGTGCTACCGACGCACAGTTTTCTGTGCTAACTGGATAGAAGATTGCTTACCGGTTCAAAAACACTATTGACGACAAGTAATCTAAAAACTGTTTCCAGTTTGATTCCTTCATACACCTGTATAGTTTAGTAATGATGATGTCCGAAGCCTCTGTCCCTGTTTACTTACTAAGAAATGCTGACAAATTTGTCTGCGCCCATGTAGTTTTATCTCAGTAACTAACTTCATAAAGCAAGAGGGTATACATCCAAAGAGTAAAGTGGAATTAACTCAACAATCAAATTAAATACTCTAACTTACAGTGTTAAGTCAGTGAATAGCTATCAATGCCACTCACAAATTGGATTGTCTGTTTATAGATACGCGCCCTGAAAAACAAAAATATCTTTATGTGATCCGCCTTGAAATAAGTGAAACAGTTTGGATATTGTCCAGAGTTAAAAGTCATGTCTAGAGTGATGTTGTAGGGTAATCTAATGCTATGATTATGTTGTAAGTGCTGTTACTGTAAACGCACTAAAGATGTCAGTATATAAAGTGATTACCAGTGTTGATTTGTACTTCTGGTTCACTGTTGTTGATTTACGCCAGCCGAATTTATCATTCTTTGTTGGAATATGAACTTCGTGAACGAATGCGTCGAAACTGTCTTGAACTGGATTCTTATACTACTTGAATGATCTAGCTAGCAGTGAAGTCTAGGATGTAAGTCTTGTTCCCTTTGATTTTTGGCACCTCTATGTACCTGCATCTCAGCAAGTGGTAATATTTCCACCAAGATTTGAACGCACTACTCACCGTTTCGAATGTTAAGGCAACATCTACAAACCTAATTAATATACCATTAGATGAACCGCTTGCGCAATGGGATACTTATGATTGTTAGAATGTTGCAGTGAAGCTAACTGCTTTATTCAATAGTCTGCTGAAGACCTAGTAGAATTTATTCACTTTAAAACTCTATTAATGGGAAAGTTCTCAATGGTCCCTGAATATTTGTAAAACATTAATTTCGCAGTAAAACAAACTTATGTACATCATACTGTTTTTGATAGTTCGCTGAACATGCTTATCCAAATATGTCATTTAGTCAAAAAAAATTCCAACATAACGTGTAATTAAATTCCTGCATAAACGTTTCACTTGTAATTTTAGTTTCATTCTGATTATCTCAATGAGTTTCTGGTGCGTGTCAAGAAACTTGCATGTGAAGCAATTGACAGAAGGGCGAGTACCAAAACAGCCTTGATGTTGCCCAATTTATCCGTTGGTCTCTTGGAGTCGCATAGCGAGGAAGTAGATATGCATACTCCAGATGCAGATGAAAATTCAAACAGCCGAAACAATGTGTCTGTACCAACAATTATCTTGCCGCAATTACAGAACAGACACACTTATGTAGCGAGAGAATTTCAAAAGCGTATCAGATTGTGGGATAACGTATGGAATGCGCTGAACTATGTTAATTGGTTGAT